TTCTAAGCCTATAACTTTCTTACTAGATGAGCTAGCGGGGTCAATCAAAAGCCATTTTGTAGAGCGTCTTTTACTGCATCTTTTCTTTATAGAGTCAAATTTTCAACCGCGCGATTTACTAAAGAAAAATTTATTATACAAATCGTTACAGAACTTCTGGAACACCCTTTATTCTAATTCTCTAGAGCTTGCGTTAACAACTTTTTTTTTTATAAATCAGTAAAAAACAAAGTCTTCACCTGTATAAACTTTAATATGAGAAACATTAGGATATACTTTCATTTAGTCGTTCAAGAAATAAATAAAGAGATGGATGCAAACCAATAGAAATATCTTGAATATGTGGCCATGTAAAAATATTTGCCTCAAAACTAAAAGAAAAAGTCATATTAAAAAGTTATATAGATTCTTGTAGAACAGGTTATCTTACTGTAATCCGTTCATAAATTGCAGTGTATTAACAGTAGAAGAAGAAAGATGTTGATATGACATAAGTGGATCATAGAAACAAGATATATTTGCCCATTGATGATCAATAAAAAATTGATGAGTTTTAAATGAATTTATTATTTTTTCAATGTTCTTCGACAATAATTTACATTCGGAAACAATGTAAAATTGAAAATCTGTTATATTGATTGGAACATCAGACATACAATATTGACGTATAAAATGTGAATCAACAACATAGTTCTTAATCGTTCCATCTGAGGATAAACATACACTATAAATTTGAAGATGAAGTTTAAATTTTTTGATATGATTTAAATTATTAAGTATCCATTTCATATATGCAAATTCGAAATCATTATGGATGAAAACTGTTAAAGTCAAATAATTCAATTTTGGTACCTAGAATTGGTAGCAAAATAAAGACATAAGAAAAATCATTCTTTGAATAAATCGATCCTATTAGAAATCAATTTTCTCTTAATTTGATGCTTACAGAATTCGTATTACGTAATTAAAACTAAATTCTTGTTTATTTTCAAAAACAGATTTCTAGTATTGTTTCTCTTAATTTTCTTCCTATTTCCTAGTTCACATACTAGAGATATTCAGAGTGTGGTTAAAATTGCAGTGAATATCAACATGCACATGCTCTCACTCTTATCAAAAGATAGCGCTTGAAATTCTCTAGAAAATCATATGTGACTGGTACCAAAGATTCTTTTACAAATATTTTGATAAGATGAAGATTATGGACACACAAAAAGCTGTAAAAACCAAACATGAAAATTTTTATGGATCAATTAAAGTTTATCGTGATTTGCCCGAAGTGATTTCAGTACAAACAGTTAAATTCCGAATAAAAAAATGATCAGCAACACTGATTTTAAGAAGTTATTATACTGTTTTCGATCATTCAGACATAGTTCGAACAAAAATCACTGTTACCATTGTTATCACATGAAAATCTTAGTTTTTTTCCATACTAGAAGGTCAAAGAGTCAACTTAAAGATCGTGATTATTTCACAAATTGAATGTGAGCGAAATTTCTTAAAGGTATAAAGCTATTTTCATGTATTCATGTAAAAGAATCATTCATCACTGAATCTACATGATTTAAATCTTTTGAATTATAGTTTATAGAATGAGCTACCTGAAACTATAAATTGGAATGCATAACAACAACAAAAAACATTAATAGACGAAATAAAATCTTCTGTAAAAAGACTAGAAAAAGAAAATAGCTTAAATTTTCTACTTGATTTCAATGCTCAATTAAGTCTAATCCAAAAAAACATGGAGGAACCTGTGTTCATTAGATTAAATATATCATTTTGTGCAGAATTTCAAGTGCTATTTTTTGATAAAAAGAAAGACGCTTCGATCCAAGAGATACTACAATAGAAATATCAAACATACTAGAAAAACAATTTATTTTTAACTATCCGATACATGTGTGACTCGCTCTAAAGGAACTAGCTTCAAGATTTATATTGATAAAAAAAAACCTAGTAATAATCGAATAGTGAATAAAATAGATATGTCAATATAACGATGATCTTGACATTTGTTTTAAATTATTTCAATAAAGATGAAAAGTTAATCATAATGAATTCATCTCACCTTTTCAAACCAGTTTCCATTTGATTTTATTAATGTTTCAATATCTAACTTGGATCATGGTTCAAAATGCATCGGTTGTTTAAAAGCAACTGACAATCGTTCAATATTGGATATATACTCAATAATATGTTCAAGAAAACACGTGTATTTAAGACAAATATATAAATAACGAAGCGTCAAATAACAGGATTGAACTTGATCAGGTATTAAACTTGATAAAGGAATAGAAGATGGCGTTAAACATTGGTGAATATTAATAGGAGGATCATCATCAGAAATATCGAGTTGAAGATGTGTTAATTGACATTTATGAGAAAAAAATTGACGTATCAACTGTTTAAACATAATTACTAATTTTCCTAACGTATATGAACAAAAAAAACATGATAGAATATCTAATTATTAATACAATACATCTAATCCACTATTCTCAATATTCAAATAAATTGTATTTATCTTTATAAACACCTGTTTAGACAAAAAACATATATGTTATCAAATATGATTTGTTTTTATTTAATTCATTTAACATATTATCAAGTATGATTTACAAGAGACTCTTTCCGATTTCAATGATCTTTTTTCCTTAGACATACTGCCTAGTGTTAGTAAACACTCTAAAATAATGTTCATTATTATTTAGACTTAGTAGAACTATTCAATTATTAACTTGTTCATTTTCCAGAGACCTCATCTAAGATGTCACGGTTTCGGAACAATCGTATTTTGAAAAATTGTCTTTCATATAGAGTTTTCACGATTTTTAGAGTTCGTATTGCTGAGAGGCAAACTATTGAAAACATACTTCTATGATGCAATACTCTTTGACAAGCAGCTACTCTTCAAAAAGATCCTGACTCGAATATACAGAATCTAAAATTCTGAAACTCTATATTCAATGTTTGGTATGTGACTCGTTTAAGTGAAGGTAGTTCAAAGACGAAATTCGAAAATATAAGTTTATCGTAAATATGCCGTCATGGAGAGTTATTTGAAAAAAAAGCCATATTACAAACTCAATAACACCACTAAATCTCAATAGGAATTCAAATATATTGAGAGTTATCACTAAATCGATATGTAATATCTATAGATAGCACAGTCATTGCAATCGGAATGGAGAATATGGGAAGATTCTCTCGTTAGCGTTTGCAAATTGTTAAGAATACCCACGAAACAAAAATTCCTTCAAAACAGCGTTCCAAAGAATTCTTTTTCTTTACAACGCGTTTTTTTTTTATTTGAACAAACATTTAACAGTATCATATTTTAAAATATTTCGCTTAAATAGATTTGTTGCAGAGATGAGTTTTATGAATATACTTTAGCCAAATGTTTCTGAATATTTTCGAAGAAACAAATAGTTACTTAACAAAAAAGAACGACAGTCTACGTGAATTAGATCGATTGATATCTGATATAAAAGTCTTAACCAAATTATAAAAACAATAGATAAGATAATGTCTGGTAACAATAACAACTCTGTTAAATGATTTCCAAGCAAGGATTAATCTTAGTCGAAGCTCATTATTATTTTTTGAGCAAAGTTTCCCAAGATCTCTAGCAAGAGCAATATTTTTACAAAAATTTTTAATTTGTCTAATAAGGTAAGACATTAATGTAAAAATAGCACGTGTTTGTTTATTTTCCTCATAGTATTTCACTCAAATTTTAGTATAGCTTTTTTTCTATTATATGATATTTACGCGATCTGGTGATACAGTTTTTGATAATATTCAAATCGATGAAATTCATAGTGATTGAATGAAACTTGTATAAAAAACCTAAACAAACTTATTTTACTAATGCTAGAAGTGTGAGACACTGAGCCTCATCTATTTTCTTTCCTTATATATTTTTTCGATCTCTAATTGCTGAACTTATAATGTCATATCACAATGCAGCTGAATTGAGAATAGACAACGTCGTTTTATTAAATATTTTCATCAGATAAAATTTTCAAAGAAGTCTTACTTTTCTTTCTGCTGATCAATTAAAAAATTATGTGTGAATCTCAACTGTTTTTTACAATGTCCAAAGTGGACTGATAGATGTCGCTCACATAGATAAATGATGTATACATATTACTCGGAACAATTGACTTTCACCCAAAAAAAAATCAGATTTATTATCAGAAAAAAAACAAAAATTTGTATAAACTTTATCGACGTTAGGATAGTTACAAGAGTGGATTAAGCGGATAGAAATAGACTTTCATAGTTGATCTTTTCCATAGGAATCTCTGTCGGATGGCTAAATATCCGAGAAGTCCTTAAAATTCAGGCAGAAAACAAGGAATCCCTTCAAGCTGTCTAGAGGACATTTCTATGGATATTCAAGAGACTTTGCATTTTTTGCTTGACTTTTTTTGGGCTTTCTCGGAGATTAAGCAATGCGACACGAATCTCCCAGAGATTTTTGTAGGAAGGATCGACTAGGATTATGCACGAAAAAATGCATTATATAGTAACAAAACGCATGGTAAAGAAAGCATTCTCGAACTGCTTGTTTGCGTCTTTAGGGAAAAACGCGCGCGTTCCAACGCGTTTAAAAAGTGCATCTAAACTCTAGCGAAAATATGCGAGTTGGAATAAGAACGCATTGAAACGCAATTTTTTCAACTCTTTTTTCGTGAGTAAATACAAAACAATAGATAAAATCTATCTTGTTTTTACTTAAACCAGATAAATGTGATATGTGCATAAAATCGTAGAGATGTTCGTAAAACGATTTATTCGGAATCGCATAAGGTAGCACATCTCATTTTATAGAGCTTGTCAATTTGCAGTTGTGTCCACAACATTAAGGAATCGTAGGAAAACACTTCTTTTTTTTGTTATCTATATACGTAGATATTGTATATGTATATACATAACATGGTTGAGTTGTTTCCTTAATACCGAATCGCTGAAAACTGAACAAATTGAATCTCCTTTTATGAGCAGGACCAATCTTTTTTGATCCCGATGTGTGGTCTGATTCCTAGTCTTGGTTCTGGTGCTCCCCGTTCCAGTCTCGATAATAAAAAACAATTGGTCCCGATTCAGACGTTGGTCAGAATAAAATTTTTGATCATAATCTTGGTCAAAACAAAATTTGATCCCAGTTCCGGTAGGCCTGTGTCCGAGATCATGTTGCTGATATTTAGTTCTACTCCAAGTCACGAGGAACAAAGTTGGTATCACTTGGCGAGCAAATTCCAATTTGTTAATATTTACTGTACATTAAATTCTCTTTCAACCACTGAAGTTTCATTTTTTCGAGGTGCAACATATTGAGCAATTATTTCAAGATAATTTTAACGACCACTTAAGAAGATTCCTTTAAAAAAAAACTCGAATTTCTTCGGTTTATGCTATTTTTTCGAATTAGCTAAAAATTAGATTTAAATCATAATCGACTCTCGACATTTTTTCAAAAGATTTAACGATGATCACTTAAATTTTTAATAATCAATTATGAATTTCATTTAAAAACAAGACTTTCGACTAATAAAATACGAGTTTCCAATGCGATTCGAATGAAATCAAAGCATTAAGCTGGAAAAAGTTGCTTGTAGAGAAAATAAAAACTAATTTTTACGATTTACGAGTTTCTTGTAAAGATAATCCTGACTTATAGAAGAATTCTCTTTCTAATCAAGCAAATAATCTAACTTTTCAATTTATAAATAAAACAACTACTATAATAACAAACATACAACACAAAAACTCGAAAAATTTATCAAAAGACAGATTTCTAATAGAAATATGTTGAAGATACACTTCATTCTTCTCAATCATTTAATCTCCTGCAATTCTGAATAATTAATTACTTGCACGAGGAGCAACTCTTCATGGTTCTTCTGATTTTCGAATCAACTCCGCCATCTGTTCATCAAATGTTAATGTAAGTTGATTTAATTGATTTTGAATAAGTAAGAATAATGTTTGAATTAATGATTGCGATAATAAACATCGAGTTATCTTAAGCGATTTAAGATTAGGAAAACAAAGAATTTGTTGATTATTATTTAAAAAAAGAAAATGATCAATAACATCATAAGAATTTGAATTTGTTCCATCAAAATGAATATGTTTAATAGAAGAAGAAAGAGCCGAACTATTAAAAACTAATGGTAGTAAGATTAATGCAAACTTTCTATAGGATAAATCTGGTTGATTAAAAATAATTCCAAATTTATCTATTGAAAATGTTGAATAAATAACAGAATTAATACGTCTATTTAATGACCAAAATTATATTAAGATTTTATCCCATGATAAATAGAAAAATATATTATGCAATATTTCATTTGGTAATATCTCTAATTTACTTATCATTTTATCGAAAAATGAAAAAATAAATTAATTCTATTAAATTAGTGTAAAAGTATTTTTCTAGAATTCTCATATATTTTCGAAGAAAACAGTGAATGTACATTTTAAATCGAATTTTTCCCACTCCTCTCTCCATTACAGACATTAGCAACTAGTTTTAAATATAATCGAGCATTCTACCTTATGTAGTATGTATGAGTTCCATATATGGATGCCAAAGGGACTGCGATAACAAGCTTTTTCAAAAGAATAATAAAAAAACAAAATCTTCTTTTTATTTCGTGAAACACGATCTAAAAGGAGTGTTAAAGTTATTGAGCTGCGCGTACACGTCTTCGTGGATCCGAAAAACAAAAAAATTGGATCTGGACTCTGTCAGGTCCAGGTCTCGGCCCGATCAGACCCTAACTCAAATTTTATTCCAGCAATATCTGACATTGTTCAAGTACATGAACAAATGAATGATCAACGTTTTAGTTATTAATTCGCTATTCTCAGAAAATAATTCAACGTACACTTGAATCTTGTTGCTGGATTTTTCATCTAAGAAACTGAAGGTTCACAAAAACGTGTAACCGGGCTTGACACGGATCCGGCTCTGGAAGGATTTGCAACTCCCTAGTTGAAGGATACAAGAACAGAAATTTGAACTCCTCCTTCCCTCACATGTGTGATAGACACGTTAATAACCACCCCAGACATCATCCTAAGATTAAAGTTTACTCTGTGATTAGTATGATAGATGCCTTGTACTTTTCATTCATGCTCCCTGCAGCATACTGCAAATAATACATTTCATCATCCACATCTATTAACAATAGGTACGGGGGAAAAAACATTTTTTTTTTACTTATTTTTCTTAAAACCCAATCACAATACAAAACTTGTTCGTTAAATTTCAATTTTTTACATCAAAGATTGACAATTACACAATAATATGGATACACTCGTTATGACACAGACATTAGATAAAATTACATTTATTATTCCTACACATATGTATTCATCAATAGATAAGCCAAAGATCACAACGAAACGAGCAATCAGGATGAAAGTTCGGTTCAAGGATTATTTTTTCATAGCACAAGATAGAATTGTAAATGGTCGAAAATTTTCTAACTAGCGTCAAAAAAGTCTTTTAGATCGGTGAAAAAACAGTCAAGGCCAGCTAGTTTGTTCGATCATTTTTAATCAGCAAATGAAAATGGCATAAAAAAATCACTGATTCTCCTTTTAAGATTCAATTTGTGACAAGTCTTCACGAAGACATATCATGTTATATTCATTTACATTTATTAGGTTTTTCAAAGATGACTACGTAATATTTCTGTACATACCGAGAAAAAACTCATTTATCCATTAAGCGATTATCAAACTTCAAATCTTTGATTTTTGTCATTCACTCTTTTTAGACAAATCTGATACATCTCTTCGAGCGACGATCCAAACGTTAATTTGATCTTTATTAAAACATGTATGATATAAGTTTGGGTTGAGTAACAGTTTTGATTAAGGCTTTTTCTTCCAAAATAAAATATTTCGATGAAAGAAATGAACGTCTGAACGGAATAGAAGAAAATAAAAACAGCTCTTAAAATCAAACACTGTTTGATTATTCTGATAAGAGTAAGCAAATTTGCTTTCAGCAAAAAAAAGAAAATCTATCAAATATTTTCCAAACGATAAAAACTGGATAGTCTAATCATTTCAATTATCCCGGTCTGACTAAACAAAAACAGTTACAATTGCGATACAAGAAAGAAAAGAAGGAAGATGAAGCTATTCTTCCTGTTTCACACTTTGATGGGTCAATGATAAAGAGGAATAGTCATAAGTGAATACAGACAGCATGATCCCGTTAGGATCGGAATAAAAAACGATAGGTCCCCTTTATCACATATCACAAGTCACAAAACGTTTGTAAAATGTCTACCCAAGATAAAGTCACTTGATCAATCTTGAAAAATATCGGACATGCAGACAACCATGTTCAAGATTTCCACCAATCCATCACGATAATAAACAAAGTAGTGTCAAACATAATTTGTTTAAAATTATTATTATCTTTAAAAAAGATGAAAAGTTAAAAGAAAACATTTGATTCAAGATAAGATTATAAAAGAGATTTTTAGCGCTTTGAAAGCTTTGTCTTCATTAAAGATTTTATGACTTCACTTACCAGTGAATAATTTTTGATTGGAATATCAATATGAAAATGATCTATTAAAATATTGTGAAATAGAAAATATTTTTATTTTAAAACTCATTCTACATAAAAGGAAGAAAAGACAATAACAATTTCCTTTTCTTTCTTTCTTCTATATTTTTAATATTAGAAAGAAGAATATAAACGCCAATTGTATCATACATACAGTGGTCAACAATAAAATGGTGGCGCATCCATCTAGTCTAATATGACAGAAAAACGAATCTATCATAATTCATATTTTCTTGTCCAATGAAACGATTTCACAAAAATATATCTATCTGACAAGTATGACGAAACATACATTGGACGTTTTTTTCATTGTATTATTGGTGTGTGGGTGTGGGTCTTTGTAAAGAAGAGAGACACCCACACCCACCGACCCACCCACACCGTACAAGTTTTAAATTTTTTCAATCATATGTGATGGTATGGCAGCATTTTTAAAGAAATGTTTCTCTTTCTCTCTCATTTTACAAGTAAATCTTGTTTGGCATTTGTTTCTTTTAAAGATAAAAGACAGCACACACATTTGGAAATCATCTTAGTTTCGCTGGATTAGGTACGTAATATGTGTTATTTATTTTTTATAACTTTAGTCTCTTTAGGAATTGTACAAAAATAGTGTCATAGTTTTGGAAAATTCTTTTTCTTCCATCCTATTATCTTTCTTATCGAACATCTCTTTAACGGATGGAGCAAAAGTTACACATTAGTTTTATTTGTTCCAAATCTCTGTGTAGATACATTGTAGAGAGCCAAACTTTTTTTAAAGGTAGTCCATGATCTCCTCTACAATCATTGTTTCGAAAGTATTTTACTTGAATCTATTGGCTTTAAGTTAAGTACTTATTTCTTTAACTGGGTTATCAATTTGTGATAAGAAACCTAGTTGCATAGATTAATGGTCGTTCACGAACACTATAAAATAGTATATAAACATTCTTCCTTATCTGATGTATTTTTCAAAAAACAATCACCTGATTGATTTAAGCTTGAAACTTTCAAATTTTAAATTACAGTAAAAATAATTTTTGAACTCTTTTATGTGCATTTTGCCAAACCTAACGACGCAAAAGATTTTATTATTCTTAGACAAGTGAAGCTAAGGTTTTTGAAAGATACAATGGACAGAATTTTGAATATACTAACCACCCATATGTTTGAATTTGAAACACTTTCTTATCCGAGAGAAGAAAAATCAAAGCGCTTTTTTTTTCAAAAAGGGTGCGGTAGTCTCTTTCAGTCGATAGAAATGTTATAGCTATAAAAGTACTTTAGTATGCATACCCTTACTCCCTTCCCCTCTAGTGATAAAAAAAAGCCTCTTATATCATGTTCAAGCGTCAAAAATTTTAGAAATGGTCTTCCCATATGGAATAGATTTCTATCAGGGTGTGGGTATTCTTTTTATCCACACTCACATCCACGCCCTTCTGATAATGAATCAACAAAACCAAATGTTAAAAAGAAGGTAGATCATTACAGATCATACGTGGTGATATAAGTACGATCTTGCATATTCATATCACAATTATATTTTCCCTATACTTGTTCTTCCAAAAATACAAATCGAAAAATATGATCATTTCATGCATGCTGTCGGTAAAATGCAGACCTATGGAAGCTGGTATATGCAGTGGCAAACAAATATGAAGATCTATACACTGAATATCAGCAAACATGGGCTAAGGAACAAAATTTATCATCCGATCAAAAACAAAAAAAAATAATATACACCTTTCTTATCTGCTTTATCGTCGTGTTCTCATCTTCATAACATTTTCAGTTCTAGCGTAAAAAACGATTTATTATGATAGAAAATTTTCTTTTTATATTAATGTTAGTTATATTAAATAACAGTTTAATAATATCCTCAGTTTTTTTGCTAGTTGAATAAATGGTAAATGTTTGAACCATATCTTTTATGTTAAGCTGAAAGATAATATTGACGTACACGATCAGCATGTTCTTTAAACAGACGATATTGGAACCATCTCTATACAACAAACGAAATTAAATAAACATCTAATAAGAGTAGCAATCAAGAAAGAAACAGATTGTTCTTACTCGAACAATATATTCCGGAAGATTGACAAGAACGGCAACTATTTCGATTTCAAATTGATCAGGAATATTACTTTTTTGAAAAGCTTAAAAAAAAAACCAAAGTCAATTCATATTGGAATCAGAAACAATTTGAAAATATGTTTCATCAAATATTTTACAATGCTCGAAAATCGATAATTGTTGTCTTGTCATGGTTGGTAAACTCTCTAATGCACACTCTAATGCTAAAATCATATCAGAACTTTCATTTTTTACAAGTATTTTCTCACTTGATTTCAATCTTACCAAATTCTAATTCGAAATAATCTTCATCCATTTGAAATCACTAGAATAAATAAGAATAAACAAGAACGAAATGTTGTTGATGTGTGTACTCCCTTTCAGAGTATATCCAAACAATGCTATATAATCTACAGGATGTCCTCAAAGTCATTTTACACTCGATGCTACAGACATTTGACACTTTTTGAAAATTATTTCGCATTACTTATTATTCATAACTCATTATTTATTATTAAAAGGTACTTTCGGAATCTCTATAGATAATAAACAATAATTTATAAATTATAAATAATAAATCATGAGAAGTAATTTTCAAACGTGTGCAATGTGTACGCTACGGAATGTAAAGTGACTTTTGGGACATCCTGCATATATATATATATATATATATATGAGGATGATCAGTCTGGCCGGGTGTCCTAATTTTTTCTTTATCATCTCACTT